TAACGATAAAATAAGTAGGGGGGGGAGGAATAGGGATATGGATAGGGATGGGGAGGGGAGGACTAGCCGTGAGGCGGGTTAAATGATTATGTTGGTGGGGTTTATTGGACCCTTACGGCCTTGCCATCTGGCAGGGAGGGGGGATGGGGTGATGGATCGGAATAGTGGGTTAAAGGATGCGGGGAGGTTGTCGAAGAACTTGATATGTCTTCTTGAAATATGTTGTTGCACAAAGTCGAGTTGTAGTTCGTTATGTATGTGTTTCATGTTTCGTCTTTCTAATGTTGTCCCTTTGCAGATCTTCATGAGTATGCTGTTCTGGTATTGTTGTAGTTTCTTCACGGCTGTGGGATATAGGTAGTGTAGGAGGGGGGCACCGTGGAGAAGTGAAGGTCTGAGTATGGCTTTATATATGAGTAATTTGAGTCTGAGTGACAGCCCTGGAGAATAGAGTAGATGGCGGAGTTGGTATGTGGTAGATTTTACTGTTTGTATTCTGTGTTGTATGTGCGCTGTGAAAGATGAGTGTGATTCGAGTTTTATTCCTAGGTATGTGAGATGTCTTTTTGTTTTTATAGTTTGACCGTTAAGTTTAGGTAGTTTTTCAGTGGTTTTCTTGTATGAGAATGTGATGGCGTCGGTTTTTGCGGGGTTGATGTGGATGTTTATGTTTTTAAGTTGGTCTATGATCAGTTGGGCTGCATTTTGTGCTCGGCGCATTGCGTGTTTAGCTCCCATGCTTGCTGTGTAGATAGCAATATCATCAGCATAAGCAGCTATTTGAACTTTGTCAATTTTGGTCCCAACTATTTGGGCAGTGTAAATATTAAATAGGATAGGCGCCAGAACTGAGCCCTGGGGGACGCCACAAGTAACTGGCCTAGGGGGTGACATGTCAGTTTTGACTCGAACTGAGAAGGTCCTGTCACTGAGATATGAGCCGATAATATCGACTAGTTGTACAGGGAATTGGTGATGCCTGAGTTTATCGATAAGGATGGAGTGGGACACAGAATCAAAAGCCTGTGTGCAGTCAAGGGAGATAATGGCTGTGGCAAGATTTTTATTTGGGTTATTAGCTGTTTCGTACTGTAATTTAGCCACGTGGTGATAACAGCTAACGCCGCGGGAGAACCCAGTTTGTTCAGGGGGTACAATGTCATGTGAATCGCAGTGTTTTCGGATGTGGATGAGGATTAGTTTCTCATATATTTTTGAGATGTGGTCGAGGAGACTGATCGGCCGATAATCTTCCGGGACCGCTCCTCGTTTCCGGGGTTTGAGGAGTGGAACGACAATAGCATGTTTCCACTCCGTTGGGAAATATCTGAGGCGTGAGCATGAGTTAAAAATGTTAAGGAGAAACATTAGGGTTTTACGGGGTAGTTGTTTGATAAGGACAGAAGGAATATTGTCCTTTATTGCCTGCCCTAGGAACCAGGCCCGTATTTAAACTATTAACCAGCCCTCAGACCTGTTTTCAGGTTAGTGAGAGGCAACACTAGTAACAATTATTTTAATTAGGCCCTGAGATCTCTAAGTCCAAACTCCTTTTATTTTTATTTAATTATAGTACATGAATACTTATTTTAAAAATATTACAAACATTAATTATTTACAAAATCAGTAATTACAAAAAGAAATAATACATAGCTTCAAAATGAAATTCATAGTTCACTAGGAAATTAATAGGTTGCGCTATTAAAATTATTAATCATTATTAGAAAAAACAATGACTTGCATAAATGAATTAAATAGTTCATTAGAACAACGCCTAGAGGGCGCCACGCGCATCCTCCAAAACACCATACCACTAGTCATTTACAATTCAACCTTTGACAGAGAAGGACCTCCCGTCCGTTAGCTCTAATACATCGTACCTTTTAATCCTTATCGCTAGTTAAATGTTATTATTCATTTTACAATTTCAAATTAAATCACAACTAAAATTAATACAATATCTAGAAATAAATTAAATTTATAAATATATTACATATAAATGCTCCTTTTCACACAGTTCAAAAATAATAAAAGAACAAAACATGAACATGAGTTCTATTAACAATTACAATTTATAAAGGCCCTAATAAAATATGTTACATTTACCCTTTCCTGTGTTTAAAAAAAAAATGATTATTAAACATTTTTTTTATCATTATAATTGTCAAATAAAAAAATTCAGTTATATAATCGTTAAAATTATTACAAGTTATTATTTACTTTTTCATCAAACATTCTTTTAAACAAGTATAAAATTAGTTAACAATAGTTTTCAGTTAAAAAAGTCGCTATTAAAAAAAAGTCATATCTTTTATCTCACAAGTAAGCAGTGTATTTTATTACAAAGATCATTAGACACGAAAAATTTCCTTTTAAAAAGTCCTTTTGGTCTGTACCCGATTGAGACTATCGGCTTTATCATTGTCATTTTATTTTGACTTTGCCGCGGAGATAGCTTCTAGGGTCTTCTAGTTCTTCTTGGATTATTCTGCCATCGTCGTTGATGGCGTGGTTAGGAAGAATTACATCTATCGTCGTCTTCTCCCTCATAGGCTTAGACCATCTAGTAGTCGTCTCTGCTACAGTGTTAGGTACTGGCAGCTTCTCTAGTCCAGTGTACTCCAACTCTATTTTACGGGCTTCCTGGCTTAAACTGACTGTTTTATAGCCTGAATTTACTAAGGCTTGGATCTTCTTATGATTTTGTGTTGTTTCTAATTTTGGATACTCATATTCTTCAATAGTTGGTTCTTCATTTTCTGTTATGGGTTGAGAAGGTTCGGTAGGTAAAGATATAGTTTGAATGTGGTTTACCGAGCCATTGTTCCTTAATTGTCAGTCCTCATGACTATCTTCTGGTATATAAGCAATATTTATGTAATCTTCCTCTTCGGCCTGTACAGGCTGTTTAGCAATTGCTGCCCTGTAGTTCTCTTCGAAAGTCTGATTATTTATATTCTGTCTTGCCTGTTCATCAGGATATGTTTTCTGTTGATAGCTGTTGACAGGTTCTTGATTATTTTTCTCCCTTACTAAGGTAATTTTGTTCACTTGAGGATTGGGCTGATTCCAATTCTGGCTTCTATCAAAGTTTTTTCTCTGTACTGGGTTTGAGTAGTTTTTACCATAAGGTCGCAAACCAGTGTTGTACTGACTGGTGTTCATTTTTTCATTATAAGGTTTTGAAGGCAGGTTATTTCCTTGGTTCTTCACCTGTTGATTAGTTTTCATCTGAGGTGGCTCTTTATCTTCAAGATATCTAGCCGAAGGCCTCTGGTAGGAATTATTTTCCTTAAGAATTCTTTCTCTCCCAAAACGGTTTAGAACCTCCAAAAATCCATCAATACTATTAATGCCTTGGTATAACATTATTTCTTCGATAGTGTTCCCAAAATGTCTTGCCATAGATTTACAGATGAATTCCTCGTCAAGCTTATGTTCACATGCCCGAGCTCTTAGTATCATATTGCAGAAGTACTGCTGCGGACTTATATTTGTGTGGTAGAAGTAACTTCCATGATTCAATTCTTCCCAGAAAATAGGATCATATTTTCCTCTCCAAAATTTACTTAAAAATTTTTCACTGAAACTGTCTATTTCATTTATTTCAGTTTCGTGCATCAGCCACCATACTAATGCCTCATCTCTTAGGTGCTGTCTGATGAAGTCCTGAAATATTAGTGTGTGTCCCCATAATTGATATTGTGATCTTAGAGAGTTATTAAATTCTGTAGGAATATCCTTCTTACTGTTCCTAAAGAATAAAGGTTTCTGGTTCATCCCTTTATTTTGCTGAATCAACGTCGAGTTCAGCGCTTGGAACATGTCTGAGACATCACCATTACTGGCTATTATACTTGGCGGGCAGTTAGTATCAGTGCGTTGTATATTAGGAGTTCTTGGCTCCATATTCACAACCTCCATAGGTCTGTTCTTCTCTAAGATGTTAATTCTTTTTCTTAGAGCTTCTATTTTTTCCTCATGGGTATTTAAGTCTCCCTTTATCTCCTCATTTACTTTGTTAACATGTATTCTTAGGTTTTCATATTTTTCTGTATTTTCTGTCTTATTCTGTTCAACCGAAGTGGTCAGTTTTGTCTCAAAGTCAAGTTCTATGTTATTCAGCCTGTCTTCATTCTTCTCAATCCGGTTGGTCAAATCAGACTGTATTTCTTCCATCCTTCTTCCTAGTTTCCTTGCTACTAGGTCTATATTATTTGTAACATCTTCTAGTTTTTCGTTCAATTTTTCAGACTGATTTCTGAATTCTTCTGATATCAGTTGTCTCATCTCGCTTCTTGATTCTAAAGCCTGTTCCTTGAATCTTTCTGATTGTTGTTCTATTTCGGTTCTTAATTGTTTTGACAGTTTAGCAAACATCATTTCCATCCACATCTCTGTTTTTCCAAGTTGTGTCTTTGTTTGACCTTCTTCCTCCTGGTCTGTACTCTGGATGCTTCTGGCTCCTGTCTTATCCTTCCTGGATCTCAAATAATAGTGCTCTGTTACTGAGCTTTCTTCTGTATAAGCCTCCATTACTTGTTCCCTTTTCTCTTGTTCTTTCTCATAATCTTGAGACATTTCTTCGGTAACTGGTTCGTTTATGTTATCTGTTATTTCTAACCCAAAGAGTCGGTTATTTTAATCGTTCCCCACAAGGGATGCCAAAATGTAATATTTTTATTACTTTATATATATATATATATATATATATATATATATATATATATATATATATATATATACATTTTTTTCCCTTGCTTTAATTATTCATGCTTTTTATTTGTTTTTCCTTGCTTTCATTATTCATGCCTTTTTTTTTTTTTTTAACATTTAGTTTCTCTTTTTCTCACTTCTCTCTCTTTATCTATATTGTTTTCAATTTTTCATTAAATAAATAAATACATAAATTAAAACTCTCAGGCTACGTGCATGGCTAGTTATGAATGGTTCCCAAGGAGTCGAGGACTATATTTTCAGCCAACCTCGCTACGTCCTTAATGTCGACACCTAGTTCCTCGAGGAAGCTCCTGGTTCTTTTCGGAATTGTTCCGCGAGACCCAAACCAGAGGCCTCTCACGGTGAACTCTCTCTCTCTCTCTCTCAAAAGGTCTCACGGAATTTCTCTTTTTGGAAAGGGATACATTTATCGTAAGTGTTCTTCTTTTCCCTTTTCACTTCACCCACCTGATCGAGGTCATTGCTCTCAAAGCGGACAGTTGGATTCAAGATCAGCTCTGTCTTATGTATATATATATATAAATCTTTTATACCAATTCTTCTTACAAAAAGATTCAGATAGATACTAACCTAGTACATAATAATAGTATTCTGTTCTTATTACTCACGATTACCTATAATCCTTATATTACTAAATAATTATCACGATATACTTTATATAATTTATACACATATTCCATGTATTAATGATTTGTATATAACTGATATTATCAATTTTCTCACTAGAAATATCACTAAAATTAATAATCGAAAATGATGAAATTGGAGTTAGTCATTGTTTGGAGCATCAGGCCTTCCCTAATCCCGAAGTAGCGGGAATCAAACCTGGATGCTAATTACTTGGTTCGATGGGGGTGTTCATGCGGAATGTGAAATGAGAAAATGAGTAAAATGAGATTAACATAAAAAAAATATATTCATAAAAAAAAAAAATAGATTGACAGATAGATATTGATGGGGGTTAACTGGATATACATTTGTATTATTGAGTTAGTGAACTATTTGTTATTAAATGAAGATTCTGGCTGGTTGAATGCTTCCATCGAGGGACTGGCTTCGGTATCACCTGAGTTGAATTATGTGTTGTTGCCTGCTGGCATCTTTTAATGTCTTGTCATGTGCTGGCATCCATGCCGTTTTTTCCTACAACTTCTATGTGTTGGTCTAGCTAGGCATGTAATTCAGACTTTATATGAACATGCTTGGTCATGGAGACCATTTTGTAGGTCTCAGACTCAGACTTGCCAGTTCTTATACTTTGGCCCTTCTGGTATCAGGTCAGCAGACAGGGCCAGTTGCTCATCTTCTGCTTGCCAGTAAATGGCACTGTCATGATGGCCAATAGATGGCGCTATTTTACGCACTTAAATTAATGAATAATAGTGAGTTTCCTTAACAGTTATTCTGTCAACTAAAAGGCTTAAACAGTAATAGTGCTATTTTTGCTATGGGAATATCAATTATTCCTTACTTTCTATGGTATTTATCTTTGTAGGATAATAAATTAAAATAAATTTAAAAATCTTCAATTTACTTTTTAAATGTTTTCCTCTCTTTTTCCGTACGATTATAATATTATATACCCATGTAAGCATTTTTAAATAACAAATGGTTATACATTTTTTTAAAAAACATTATGCTTATTTATTAAAAGCATTTAATGTCTTCTTTATTTATTTATTTTTTTATTTAATATATCAAGCTTTTTGGGCAGAAGTAATCATTTCTACTGTATGATTGTATTATTCTAAAATGACTTCGTCCTTGAAACAAATTATTTTATTTTATTTTTCTATTCTCTCTCTCTCTCTCTCTCTCTCTATATATATATATATATATATATATATATATACCTGCAGAGAAAATGTAAATTCGGAACCACGAGCGTACAGGAGATAGCAATACTGCGTTTCCTTAACGAAAGCATTGGGTAGTGGTTTTGTTATATTGCAACGTGGATAGGATTACATGGAGAAAACGAGTAGAATCCTCCTCAATCCATGGAGGTGACACGATCCACAGCACCAGGTACATCTCCTCAGACATTGTAATCCCAGGACACCGAACATTCCGTTTTCAGCCCTGATGTTTGTAAATTTAGACCCATTGATTGGCACGATCCAACAGGAGGATTGATAATGAGGCAACTACAAAAAAAACACCTCAAACACATCACAAAGTGTTGAAAAAAATACTGTCAGTTGCATTTTAAATGCTGTTAATAAATTATCATTGAAGTTTTTGACCTCTTGTTCATAGGAACATTTTTATTTAGCACAAACATTCCTTAATCAGCGGTAACTTTTGTTTAAAAAGCCGAAATAGCCTCACTGTGCTCTCAGAGTACGGATATAGGATAGATCTCAGAATATTCTTGTGAATTAATTTAGTAATCATGTTATATATTGAGTGGTATTTCTACGATTTAATAACGGGGCTATTTTTATTGAAATGGATTCGGGTCATTTACACTTGAACTGAATAGTTATATATAAAGGTTTTTCAGCATACCAATATATCCTTCTTCTTCTCCTCTTTCTTCCTCCTTAGTGCCTTTAAGCGTGGAGGGGTCTCGACCCATTTACGCCAATCATCACGGTCCCTCGCCAGGTTTCTCATGTAACCCCACTGCTCGCCCCTTTTCTGTCCCAGCTTGGTTATTTCGTCAATCCAAGTTTTTCGTGGACGTTCTCTTAGCCTCTTTTCTGTGGGTCTTGCCTCAAGAATTCTCTGTCCTCGTCCATCCTCATAACATGGCTAAACCATTTGAACGTTTTCTTTTCCACGGTTTCCTCCAGCATTGGTGGCACCTTAACATCTTCTCTAATCCGTTCATTTCGTATGCAATCTTTTCTAGTTCGGCCAGCTACTCTTCTCCGATATTTCATTTCGGCAGCGGTAAGTCTACTTTTGTGGATATCTAGAAGGACCCAGCTCTCACTACCGTACAGTTAGTTAGTTATAGTTTCCTGTTTAGTTACATTTCATATTCCTGCGACCGTATTGTAGATTTGGTGATAGATGCCATTTGCTTTTTTGATCTTGTTTGATATCTCTTTTTCTATTTTCCCATTTCTTCCAACAACTGTCCCTAAGTATGTATATTCCTTTACCAACTGCAGATTCTTACCCCTACAGTTTATTTTTACGTTTTAGATTTCTCGACCTATCTGCATAATTTTACTTTTGTCTTCATTTATGATCATACCTTTTCTTTAAAGCTCAGCTTCTTATTCAACAATAGCTTGCTGTAATTTTTCGGCTGAGTCCGTTGAGAGGACAATATCATCTGGCTATACGAGAGCTTGGGCTAGAATCGTTCTCACATTTCATTTTACTATAATTGTTCTTCCAGTCCTACGTTTACAGATTTTTAGAATTTCATCCATGAAGAGTGTTAGCACCCTCTTAGTTTATGTCAAACTTCGAATGAAGCTTAACTATTTAATTGTGATTTAATAAAAAAAAAAAAAAGAAAGAAAGTGGACTACATCTTCAAACATTTATTTTGTAACATTTACGAAATCTAATATTGAAAACATAAAAACAAAATGAATCAATTTCACACTTGTTAGATAGGTAAAAAAAAATAAAAAAATAACAAACTTCTAGCATAAAATAAAGACCAGCTGAACAAACAATATTAATGAAATATTTTTATGCTTGATCATAAAAAAAAAACTATTTCTATGGCCCAAATTAAAATAAAAATGAAATAAAAAAAACAACTTCTCTAGAGTCCCAATATGAAATTTATATATATAACAAATAATTAGATTGTACAACGTTACGTGGACGAAGCAGTACGTTCGTAGACCTTTGTCTCTATGCAGAAACCAATTGTAACTCTTCAATGAGCGTGCAAAACGAACTGCAAATGGGCAGCGGCGAGCACGACGAGAGAAGTACGTCTCTTCAGAGTAGAACTGCACTAGGCAGTGTTGAAGTTGGCAGTACTCAGCTCAGTGGCGGGCGGAGTCAGACTGTCTCTTGTCAATTCTACCGCCTTATGACTTGAACTTGTAGCATAGCTAGTGCTACAATCCACAACAAAGTAGTCCAAGTATAAACTATTAATCTATTTAATATAAACAATATAAGCTATAAGCCTATAATACATATTTATGTATATTCATAAATATACATATTATTAATTGATTTCACTTTGCTAAAACAAAACAAATCAACAATTAATCAAACTAGTTAAGTGTAAAATAAAATGAATTAACGCTGTGGCGTTTTTAACTGTAAAAATAAAATAAATTAACGCTGTGGCGTTAACAAACACAATATATAGTAGTGGACTGTGGCTGTCACCTTTTTTGACCCCTTTGTTCATATTAAAGCTGTTTCATTCCTTCCCATTGATCCTTACTATACCCTTTGAATTGTTATATGTCGATTGTATTTCTTGGATATGGTCTTCTTGGATATTCTTCTTTTTTAATGCATTCCATATAACTTCCCTTGGGACTGAATCAAAAGCTGCTTTTGTATCTAAAAAGCTAAATACATATTTTTCTATAATTACCCTCAGAGCAAAGATATGGTCATGGGTTTGTCTTGATTTACATTAATTTACATACAACCTGAGATAAACAGATAGGCGTGTAGTTTTGGTATTTGGTCTGACACCCATTCTTGAATATGGGTATATTAATATTATATTCCCATTCCTTGGGTATCCTTTTTCCTTCGTAATTTTTTTGGGTTAAGGCTTGAAGTATCCCTATTATACTGTTACCTCTATATTTTATGAATTCGGGAATAATGCTATCCCTCCTTGGTGCTTCTTCAGTCTTGAGTCTTTCTACAGCTGCTTCTAGTTCTTCTTCCCACACAATCCCATCATGCTCGGCATCTTATTCTTCCTCTCCCACTCTTCTAGTTTCTTCAAAGATCTGAGAATAGTGCTGTTTTCATCTTTCAAGAATGTCTGCATTAGATAAGATTTTGCCGGATATGTCTTTTATATTTCACATAGGTTTGCCTTGCATCTTTTAGTGCTTTGATCCAGAAAGATCTGGTATTTTGTTAATAATCTTTCCAAAGATTTTGGCCAAATTCTTTTCAACTTTTCGCTTTCGCTGTTCGCACCACCAATTTTGTTTCATTTCTTCTTCGAACATATAATTCTCAAGTTGCATCACATTTGTTTTTATTGTATTCTTTCCATGCTTGTATTAGTTCCTTTGAACTAATGCCGTTACTCGATCGCAACACCGATCAGTTCACTTACCACCTGATAAGTAGTTCTTTATGCCACACACTGAAGTTGCAGCATGCAGTATATGCCTTCTAATTTCTGCCCATATGCTATCCAACTCCCCTAACATGTCAATACTTCTTAATTTCTGTTCCAACTCTTCTCTGTATTTGCTTTGATTTTCAATCATGAGAAGTTGAGTTTCATCTATTTTCTTAAATTTCTTACGTGGATATTTCCTGGACTGAATAATTCGGGTCCCAGCAACTAAAAGCAGGTGGTCAGACACTATTTGAGCTCCTCCTATTACCTTCACATCAGTAAAAAATCTTCTTATTTGTCTACTATTCTATAGTAAAATAGTCTATGATGCTATTTTCATTTCTTCTATTGGTAGTATAGGTAATTTTGTGAACTTTTTTATGCGAGAAGAATAAATTTCCTAATAGTAGATTATGATCAATACAGAAGTCGGGTGTTTTTAATGGTTTCTCTTCCATGTCAACCCATCACTTCATGAGCTCTGTTGTAATCACACCCCGTTATAGCATTGAAGTCACCCATAAGTACTACATATCTTTTGTTATTTTGGGCTTTCATTACCTCACTTGCAAGGTCAGTATAGAATTGTTCCTTTTCCCTTATATCTGAGTCTTCTGTTGAGGCATATAATTGTATAACAGTATCATGATCAATGGAGAATTTCATGTTTATGTTGATAATTTTTGAGGATACCGAATACCATTCCACTAATATCGAGGGAAGGCTGCCCTTTACTATCCCACCAACACCTTCCTTAGCCCTGATTTCAACTGTTATCCCTGAGTACATTAGAGTGTAATTCCCTGGTAGCTTTTTTAATCACTGCATTCCTTATTTTTTACCTGTCCTCATCTCAACAGTTATTTCCACTCCCTTGGCAATACCAATACATCCGATGTCACTAAATATGATTTCTATTTATATGATTATACATTTATTCTTTTCGTTCGTGGTTGAAGAGAACATATAATAATACTTTATTTATTTAATGAAAAATTGAAAACAATAGAGATAAAGAGAAAGAAGTGAGAGAAAGGGAAATTAAATGTTAAAAAAAAAAGGATGAACAATGAAAGGAAGAAAAAAAATGTATATATATATATATATATATATATATATTACTAATATAAACTAACCACTTCTGTGTATTTATATGTAAGTTCAATTATTGTCCTAAGGATTAAAGAGTATGCTGTGTATATAGCAACCCAATATAATTGGGCAGCAATCTTTTATATTTTATATTTGTTATGAAAATAAAGTGTTTCTCTCGCTTCCACCAAGTTAATTATCAGCCTTAATAATAATGGATAGTTCACATGTACAGTTCATTGTTTTCCCGCCATTAATAAAAAGGTTAATTTTGCAGTCTTCATATTATAATAAATATTATACACATTAATACATAAATTTTACAAAAGTTATAAAATTAATAAAAAAATATTGTTTAATTAATTATATATAAACAAAAATATCTTCGAATGTTCTAAGGTTTGTGGCATTGTCCTATGTCGAAAGTTTTCGTAATCCATGTCGTTTGAATTTGTATTAGGCCTATATGATCCATGAGGGTTTCGTTGAATGGATATCGGTTTGGTATGATTTGTTCTGATGTTGTCCAAAGGTAAGTAGAGACTTTTATTTCGTCACAGTAAACATAAAAACATCGGCAGGTATATTTGTTGATCCCCGCTTTGAAAGTCCTTATAAATTAAATATCAGAAATTAACCCTTAAAAAATTCAAAAATTTTTGATGGTGCTCCTTGCGCCATGCAACCCCCTTCTGGATACTCTTAATAATAATAATAATTCAAAACGGCGTGTTACGTTCGTGGCGAAACGAATAAGCGAAACAAGTTTTCTCCTGAGTGTGATTAGAAAATATTATTAGTCCATAGGGTAACCTAAATATATACGTGTGTATGTTGTAAAAGCAAATATTCTGTTCTTATTGACACGTTAAAAATCCTAAAATCTCTTGATTTTCGAACAAAAATCATAAAAAAAAAATTTAGTGTAGATAACGATTTATGTGGATATATATATATATATTTTATGAAGACAATAACCCGAAAGGGTAGTTTTATGTACCCTTATATATGTTATGTTATGTATCAATATATATATATTTTTTTATATATTAAACATATAAATACACATAAGGTACGGTATATGAACTGGAGTTGCCCCATGACGGAGCTGAGCCTGTGACCCAGTTGAAGGAGCGAATCGATATGGAACAACAGGTAGACCACTATCAACTAGTGTCACCTTGGCGTTACATCAAAGGAAATTATTCACGACCAAATTGCGACTCAGTCACCATTTTTATTCATCCGGTTCGTCTTTACCTTTTCATAAATATTCATTAAAATGCCACCGCGAAAAAGAATCACGAACCTGTCGCCGAGAGAAGGGGGCGATAATCAAGATTTGTCATGGAAAATTTAGAAAGCCTATGAATGAACTTAGCCGACCATTGCCATTCTTACACTCATTGAAAGAAAGAAAAAAAAAATATTCTGTGATATTCAGTCCCCAAAAAATAATCGTTATGATAAGTGACATTTGTATCACTTAAAAAGGTATTCAAGAAATGATAAAATAATGCAACATAAAAATAAAAATAAAAGATGAACACAAGAAAACGACGAAATTAATAAATACATATGCATAATCAATAGTCATCGTCCGTCCTACGCATACAATCTCCTACAATTCAAATCATCTATCCACACCCTCTCCACAAGATCTCGTCCTTCTGACCTTTACACTCCTTTCCACAGATCTGCACCATTTAAACATTCCTTCATTGTCCGTTCCACTGCATTCTGGAATTCCATCCCACTAAAAATCCGCCATGCATCATCCTTATCCACCTTTAAAACCCTCTTATTCCAATTCCTCTTCACAATCCAATCAGACGCTGGTTAAATACATACTATGTTATAAGGATTTAATTTTCTTTAGACATTATTTTTTTTCTCTTATTTTTTATTGTTTTATTCTGTGTTGAACGTGAATTTTCATCACCACTCACTAAGCATTGTGAGTAGATAAAATTTTTTTCCTTAAGTTCTAATTTGTTATTCATGGAATGTATTTCAGTGAAATGTATTTTATTTCTAATTATCTTCAACATACTTCTCGCTATGTGTATATATATACTTTATTTTATTTTCTCTTCTCCTAATCTTTACGCATAATCACATAAATATCTTAGGGAACATATGTATATCATTATTTGTTTTTTTTTTATATTTTTTTGTTTTAGTTTTTACAATTTCTTTCCCTACATATTAACAGTTATTATTTTTTTTAATTTTTATATTCCATCACTACAATGCTTTACCTATAAAATAGATTTTACTTTCCTTTATAATTTCATTCAGTGATTATTATGCAATTATTTTAGCTCCAATATTGTAGTACTGAACCCCTATTACCCAACTGTCTTCGTTAATTTATCCTAAGAGCTTAATTAATACTTAATGTATTACATGTATTTTGTCATTATTCATTGTAATAAGTCTTTTGACCAGATTTGTAGTTAATGTATATGAACAATACTGTTATTCTAAAGGGACCTAGTCCCAGAATAAAGATGATTTATCTATTCTATTCTATTCTATTCTATATATGTGTGTGGGTTTATATATATGGATAATACATAGATAACTGAAATTACCAGTAAAAAATAGGTTTATAATACTAAAATACTAAAGTTTAATTCATACAAGTTTTTGAGAAGATTGATTGCTAAGGAGATGGAAGTATAATTGATAGTTTAATGAAGTCAAAGTTGAAGATTTGCGTATAGAGAGGGAGGGGGGTTAAGTAATTCCAAAATAAGGTTGTGCGACGAAGGATTTTGAAAAGGAATATACAGGTTTGAGAGCTCTTGTTTAAATAATGGAAAGAGGAACAAGGAGTAAAGAAATCAAGAGTGTAATATTTTGGGTCCTGTTTAGAATAGGCCCGCCAGTTATTTTATCTAGTAACCGTTACTTATTGACAAATTAAAAAAAATATGGGTTAAAGAAACATATCATTTATTTAATAGGAACTTTTTATATATAACCAAAAACATTAACATACTTTTAATGAGTTACTCCAAGCATCTCTGGGGGCCGAAATTCTACTATGTCCTTAACGATTTTATCAAAAACGTCTTCATTTGAGTTTCTCTGCCTCCACATGAACTCGCATAAATACGAGTCTAACATAGAGCGATGAGTCCCACATTCCTTTTTGTTTCTCCTTACATAGACTCGACTCTTTGAATGTGAGCTCCAGCATCTTGATCGACGAAATTCGTCTGTAATCCTTTCTAATCATTTCTTCTATCCCACTATACTTACACAGATCAGACATTATAATGGAATCCGGTCTAATTGATGTTGTTATGTACTCCTCCAGGGTTTCTCTTCTCCTTTTGGGCACTGCGTACAAAAAACGCTCACTAGTTTCACAAATCCCGCCAAATACCCATTGATGTGGATTATACTTCCACTTGCGTTCTACATTATACTTTCAACGAGAAAAACAGAACTGGTCTATCTCAACTGTCAGTCCTTTTCCTCCAATAACAATCGGGGTTTTCACCAAACTAGCTGCGCACAACTCCCGCAGATAATTTATCCAATCTACAATTGTAGCGGAGCTTATATTGAATTATTTACAACAGAATTTAAACGTCGTATACTCCTGTGCCCATAAGTAAACGAATTAAAGGGCTTTACTTAACGGGAACCTGTTGTAACATAGCCACGCACCCGGATGCATGCCACATTCATTCTGGCATTCTCTTTTGTTTCACCTATATTTTTTCCTATCTTCGTAAAATTTCGTAATGTGGCCTTTTTTACAATATCTTTCCTTAGGTAGAATTCCTCTTTCTTTTAAAGAAAATCCTGACTCGTTCCTCTTATTTGCATAAATAGTAAACTTAAAATATTCATCGTGTTTTCACTTTATAACCGCAGTTGCACAAACAATACTAAATTAAATAATATTTAAACATGTGATTTTATTTCTATACCAATGGTATCAAGTTTCCTAACAACTGTTACTAAATATCATTAAAAAATCACTGGCAGACATAATCTAAACAAATGCCGGATATTTTGCTTGTAAAGGTTCGAAAACTGAATACTCATAGGAAAGAATGGAGTGGGAAAACTGGATAAAGCCACTTCAAATTTGAATTAACTGTTGATATGGGAGCACCTGGGGACTCAAAAGATGAATCTAATAAAACAATTCATTAATTGTATAAATCATTAATTATTTCAAATAACGAAGGTAGGCAAGCTTTGTATTTGTACAGCAGGTTACAAAAAGGTTTGTGTTCAGAAAGAAGAAACAAATTTAGTTCTGTTTTTGTCTTTACGTCGGTAGTCAAATCTGTGAGACGGGAGTATAAGATGATATTCATCCCACTATAAATCCTATTTTGGTACATTCTCAGAAATAGTCCCTAGCTGTCCATATCAATTCCATCCTATTCCACCTACTACTCTCGCTAGAAGATGCACAAATGTATTACGATACACCTAGACATAAAAAATTTCTTGTTCGAATATGCTCAAAGTTGATTAGAGATTAGTGAAAAATGCTCCAGTATCAATTTTACCAAACCACATTCTTTTGCTTATGCTAGGGCAATATTTCAAAAACTTATTTGATTTGGGTAATATTAAACAAAGGGCTGGTATAAATTTCTTGTTAACAATTAAAATTTATATAATTGTTAGGAATATGATAGCTGTGAAATGTAATAGCCAGTCTCATACGTTCATAATGGAAGGCTAAATACGATCTTTTCTACTTTAAACACACCATTGAATTTTTTTCCACTTAAGCTATTTCACAGTTATGAACAGTTACTTTAAACATGTGAGTAGAAAGTAATCCTAACCTCGAATGAATGTGAACGTTATAAATCTGAATTTATTAGAATGATCTGATTATTCAATATTCTAAAGAGATACAGCTTTTAATGCAGCGTAAGATTGTTTAAAAATAATCTTACATAATTTTGATACCTTTTCCTCTAAATGAATGCATACAAGTAATAATCAATCATACTCATTCATGTTCCATATTCCTATTAATTACGATATTTCATCCTGGCAAAAAGAGCTTCTATAATTTTGTGTAATCTATAGCACTTTCTTATTTTATGTAATAATCTAAATCTCTGGACGATGGTTATTACCTACCTGCGACTTTCTTAAGCGACTCTTGGTTCAAAAAAATTCATTTCTGCACTTGAAATAAATTTATGAACTATTCGTTTCATGCGTTCAATAGCCATGTACCAATGATGTTTTTAGTAACCATTATAAATCCCGTTATAAGTTTAGGCAACTATTCATAACTGTGAATAAGAAAAGTTACTAAAGTAGAAAAGAGCATATAAGTTTTTAAACTTAATGTGAGTTATTAGATAGATCCTTTGAGTAATATATCATGCAAGAAGCGTATTTATTATAGACTAAAAAAAAAAAAGCAAAAACGGCCGTTTATTTCTATATCTTTAGATATTTAAAAATAAAATACGGATTAGCGACTTTATTTTATAATAATAAAACATTACGTTGTCATTATCGATAAATATGAAATAAAATTTAATAATAACTGACCCATTGCATACGTTGCAGACAAATAGTGACCGATAATTATGTTGCTCTATCTGAATATAGGAGTTTTCTTCGTTCCTTGTTTATTTGCTTGCATGTATGTCCTTCGTAAGGTTTCTTCGCCTAGCAGATTAATCAGTGCGTCATGCCTCTCCTTTTCTTCTGTAGATTTAGCGTTTTGAAAATTGGGATGTTCCTTTTTACGTTTTGCCGGATCCTTGGATTTCTTCATTCCGATTTTCTCTTTCGGTTGAATGACACTGTCCAAAAGCAAGTCATTGTCGCTACTCTCATCGGTGGTCGGGATCTTTAGAATATTCATCAATTTTTCATTCTTTAGAAATTTATTCCTATTCCCCAAGGACATTTGCTTACTCATATTCCGCAGTTTTGAAGCGTATTCGTTCCTTTTCACGAATGAAGACTCATCATTTTTCTTATCGTTTGTTTTTCCTTCAAGTTTGGTGGTGTCCCTCATCGGTCGCGTCGAATCGGTTTGGGTTGTATAGCTTTCTTTCATGGACCTCGTTGTTCTTGGATTTGCTTGATTATTTTTGGTAGGTTTACTTCTAGTTATTCTTATACTTCTTTTCTTCTTGGTAATTTTTAGTTTTGTATCTTGCACTTCTTCTTTACTATCTTCACTTTTCAATTCTAAACTCTGATCAGTTGGGGTGATGACGCGGCTTTGCTTGATGGCATCGTCTAATTGGTGAAAACTGTTTTCT